TCTCTATGTCTCTCTCTGTCTGGTGAGTGCACGTGCCCTATAGTGAAAAAACTCTCCAAAAAAAAAAAAGAATTAAAATAGAAATAGACAAATCTACACTTATAATTGGAGATTACAACACCCATTCCTTAACAACTGATGAAACAGGCAGATGAAAAAAAAAATCAGAAATAGAGAAGATTTGAACAAAATTATTAAAAAGCTTGACTGAATTGACAAATTTAAGATGCTGTACTCAACAATTATAAAATATGCATCCTGAGCACACATGAAATATTTACTAGAATTGACCAGAAAATGGGACGTAGAGTAAATCTCAACAAATTTCTTTCTTTCTTTTTTTTTTTTTTTTGAGACGTTTTCGTTATAGGGCGCGTGCGCTCGCCGGACAGACAGAGACAGAGAGACAGAAAGCAAGAAATCACCCCCCCGGGGGGGTGGCCACGCTGCAATCCCTTCTCCCCCCATTCTCCTCTTGGGATCTTGGGCACGCATGCACATGCACCCGGCGTGAGTTTTAAGCCATCGGGTCCGGGACGCGAACCATGGTCGACTATGTGGGAGTCCAGCGACATAGCCATTACGCTAACTGCTGGTCCCAAATCTCAACAAATTTCAAAGGATGAAATAATACAGTATATGTTCTCTGAGCACAATGAAAGTAAGCTAGAAATCAATAATTAAAAGATAATAAACATTGTCAAATTTAGAAGCACATTTCTAAATAACCTATGAATCAAAGAAGAGATGATAGTGGAAATTAGACAATATCTTGAACTAAATGATAATGAACAAAATTCAAGAGTGAAGCTAAAGCTGTGCTTAGATAGAAATTTTAGTTCTTCAGAACTCTAAAACAAAGGCTGAAGAAAAAAATCAATGAAGTAATTACTCATTTCAAGAAGTTAGGGGAAAATGTAGATTAAGCCCAAAGAAAGCATATATACAATAAAGAACAGAAATTAATAAAAATTAATGACCTATAAAACATATATTAGAGGAAATCAACAAAGCCAGAAACTAGCCTTGATAGACTTCTGTCAAGACTAAACAAGAAAATTTAAGAAAAGCCACAAATTATTCATACCAGAAATGAAAAAGAGAAGTATAGTATTTTCTGTAGGATTTGTAGGAATAGTTTTATTGCTTAGAAGTCTTGTTGAAAGACAATAAGACAGTTTTGACAGTTTACATTAAGTGGATAATTTTTTTTCAAAAACTGAAACTGACAAAAGAAGAATTATAGTTATTTTCACATCTTTTTTACTGTTACTTAAAAATTTCCCACAAAGAATATCTTAGGTACAGACAGTTTCATCTAGGAATTGTTTCAAATATCTAAAGAAGAAATAACAACAATCTTATACAAACTCTTTCAAAGAGGTAATACTTTCTAACTCATTTTATAACAAAACCCCACAAGGAGATTATAAGAAAAGAAAATGATAAGTCAATCTTTTTCATTAATTTAGATACAAAGTATCTTTAAAAAATGACAATATAACTCTAGTGACATATGAGAAGATTAGTATATCAAAACCAAGTTGGGTTTATTCTAGATTGCAAAATTGGTTTAATGTTAAAAAAAAGTCAAAATAATTTATCACAGGAACAGAATAAAGCAGGAAAACTATGATTATTACAAAAAAGCAACCGATAAAGTTCAACATCCATCTGTGCTAAAAATGCTCATCAAAATAGGAACAGAAGGGAACTTCTTTAATAAAATGTACCTAAAAAAATTCCTATGGCAAACATCCGTATTAGTATATGTATCAAAAATTGTCCATGAGATTAGGAATGAAACAAAGGTGCCTGTTATTGCCACTTCTATTCAACATGGTACTGGAGTTTTAGCTGATTCAGTAAGACAAGAATGGAGGAAAAAGACAAAAAATGAATAACAGCAGACTAGGCTCTGGGTAGGGACAGGAAATGGGTAAGAGTGGAAAGAAGGGAAGGGAAGAGAAGAAAACTGCATGAAAGTTTAGCTTCAACTTCAAATGATAAATCATTAGATCTCATATCTATTAAACTTTTCTAATCCTCCCTACAAACCTATACACTAGATAAAACATACATTATTTTCCTCTATTTTGCAAATGATACAACTAAGCCCCAGAAAGGTAAACTAATTAGACTAAACACACACTTAAGAAGCAAAAGTGGGGGATTTAAATCCAAGTTTCTTTTCAATAAGTCAAGGTCTTTCACAAAAAAGGAAACTTCCAAAGAGAGAAATTCTGTCCAGACTTGGCTATCGGGTCTGAAACCTAAATGAAGCTGCCACTGAACTCATTATCTAGAACTTGTTTTTCTTTCATATATTAAGACGTAGGCAATGAGGTAGGCTGAAATGACACAGACAGTCCCCTCCTACTTCAAACTCATAGAAATGTTATAAAAATATTTTACAATAGAAAAAGGGGGAGAAAATTAGTTCAAGAGAAAGACCAGACAAAGAAAGGCATATCCACAAATGCTAGCAATGAAGAACTTAAAATCAGAGTGAGAAGTGAGAACTGAAATAGATTCAAGTATAGCGTCAGGGACTGGTGCCTGGAATTTAGTGCCCATCTAGGAATAGCAAGCCTACTTTCCAGCTTTTAAGGCAAGATTACATGTGGGTGAGTGATAAAGACTAGACTGTCGTTCCCTTCCTGAAATCTGGACTGTTGGTGAACTGCCCACCCAGCAAAAGAGAGGGTTGGGAAAACTCCGTCCACAGGCTCAGGGAAGCAGTAAAAGTTGATGGCAGGGATCTCAAATGAAGAGGACAGAGAATGGATGAAACGTCCACAAGAAATGGAAAGTGCAGGCCTATGCTACAAGTGAGTTCACATGATCTAGATGGCATGGAAATTCAGAGCTGAGAAATTACAAGGACCACCGAAATCCCTAGGGCCCTGGGAGCAACAGAAATAAACAGGTGCTATAAATAGTATAAATAGATACTTTCACAGTACAACATGGAGAGAAAAAAATATTGAAGATGTGATCATCTTCAAAGAATTATAAACCATAAGGAAGATACATTTCCATGAAGTAGAGTAGCATACACAGCAAACAGGGAATCTAACCTTCTCATCCCAGAAAACAAAAATAAAAACAAGAACAGAACAATCCAAAAGTCACCATAAAATAAGTATACTGAAAATGATTAAAAAGTAGAAACTGAATGAAAGATCAGAACATTTGGAAAAATTCTGACATTTGAAAAGAACCATAAGGTACTTTTCAAAATTAAAAATTACCACTCATTGAAATGAAAAACCGAGTGGATATATTAAAAAGCAGATAAGACATTGCTGAAGAAATCTTTAATTAACTGGAAGGTAGATATAAATATATAACCCAGAATGGAACAGGGAGAAGGAAAGAATAAAAAGCATGAGAGTGCAATAAAAAGATATGAAGGACAAAGAAAATGTAACAGAAATGCACAAAGGACGAATAGTGGGAAGACAAATAATGGCTAAAAATTTGTAAATGAAATGTAAGTATAATTTCTGAATAAGATGAATAAAAACTAACCCAACTTAGACATAGGATAGCAATACTACAGAACATCAAAGAAAAATACTATGGGCTGGCTCTGTAGCTTGGGGGTTAAGGCAGCTATATTCCATATGGTTCAAGGCCCAGGCCTGGCAGTATGGGATATACACCATGCACATGCGCATGTGTGCCCAACCCCAATGGAAGTGATGAAAGAGAAGGGATTGCAGTATGATCATTCCTTGTGGGAAGAGCTCTTTGCTATTCCTCTCTCTCGGACTCTCTTTGGAGAGCATATATATCCTCTAGCAAAAACAAAGATAAAAAACTAAATATTTTAACAGCAACTAGAGAGAAGAAATTTTCTTTAAAAGAAATCATAATTAGTGTGACAGATTTGTAATAATCAACATTATAGGTCAGAGCCCATGAAACAATAGCTTGAAAGACCAGATGAAAAGTAACTGTTCATCTAGCTTACTATCATTCCTTCCCTATTCAACTCACAGGAGAGAAGTGTGCCCGCAGATGAGAGGCTTGCTCAGAACCAGCTGGGATTAGAAAAGACCCATTCCTTCCCTATTCAACTCACAGGAGAGAAGTGTGCCCGCAGATGAGAGGCTTGCTCAGAACCAGCTGGGATTAGCAAAGACCAGCCATATCCAGAGGATAACTTTTTAGTGGGAACTGCACCTGACTCCTAACTGTGAGATAAAACAGATGACCTAGACATAAGGCTCCAGAAGCCTTTACCTTTACTCTGTAATTCTAGCCAATAGTTGGCAGAGTATGAGTGGCACAGGCCTTATTATTTATGGAGTAGCAAGTGTACTCTAGATAGATAGCATAGTTATTAAAGCTGAAGTCTGTCAAATCAGACTAATTGGGTTCAAATACTGATTCTGCTTTTTTACGAGTTGAATAAATTTGGTCAAGTTACTTTACCTCTCTATGCCTTAGTTCCAGCATCTCTCTATCATAGTTTTAAAAAAGATTAAATGACCAAAAGCATGTAAAACATTTAGCATAGTACCTGGCGCATGGTATCTGAATCTTAATAAATCCAAGTTATTATTATTACTCAATCTTGAATATAGTACTATAATCTGACCATGTAGTTTGAAGTTATCATGTAGTTATTCTTAGTATGAATACTGAAAGGCTAAAATAGAAGAGACACATACTCTGACATCCACTGAGCAGCCCACAGTCCATGATGGATTTCCCAGCACTTGATTTTGGCATAGAAGATGGACTAGCGATGATTTCCCAACACCTGTAAAAGATACAAAAGCACTGGCCATAAAAGAGACATGATGAAATTTATCATGGCACTAGTAAGCGTGATATTATGTGGAAATAATACATAAAACATTACTTAAAGGATGTTCGCACCATACCAACATAAACTTCATTGAATAAATAAGACAAACTAGTGGCATGGTGGTTAAGGTACTGAATTCCACAAGGCCGACTTTGTGAGTTTGAATCCTGAACTTAGAGGCTTGAAAAACACACTGGGCATGTATGTGTGCAAGCCCAAAATCCCAAGAGGAGACTAGAGAAGATGGGATTGCTGTGCCTATCCACCCCAGGAGGTGATTTCTTTCTCTCATTGTCTCTTTCTCTTCAGTGAGTGCACATATTCTGTAGCAAATTTAAAAAAAAACTTTCAACTTTATGGAATAAAGTGAAGATAGTTGAGGGAGTGGTTCACTTAAAGTTTGCAACAGAATTATTGGGTGGACTCGTTAAAACACAGAATCTTGGGACCTAACCCCAGACTTCCTGATTTACTAAGTATGTCAAGGGCTACAAGATTTTGGAATTCTAACATATTGCTACATGATATTGATGATTCCAGTTGGAGCCTCAAATTTAAGTCTAGGGCAATTTCATACCAATCTCTTTTCTTTTCTTTGGAGAAGTTTTTGCTATAGGGCGTGTACGCTCGCCAGACAGAGAGAGAGAGAGAGAGAGAGACAAAAAGGGAGAAATCACCCCCCCAGGGGGGATGGCCACACCGCAATCCCTTCTCCTCCATTCTCTTCCCAGGATCTTGGGCACGCATGCACACACTCCCGGCATGAGTTTTAAGTCACTGGGTCCAGGGCGCAAACTGTGGTCGACTATGTGGGAGTCCAGCGACATAGCCATTATGCTAACTGCTGGTCCCACCAATCTCTTTTCTTTTGAATGAGTTAATATATTTAGCTTACTTTAGAATTGTAGAAACTGAAGGTATTGTTCTAGTCCATTCTGTTGCTATAACAGAAATACCTGAGTCTGGGCAATTTATGAAAATAGAGGTTTATCCAGCTCATGGTCTGGATATCCAGGTTGCCTCTCGTGAGAGTCTTCTGTTTTGTTCCCTCTTTATACGCCAACCAGGATTCAATTGTAAGGGCCCTGCCCTAAACAAACCACCCAAAGGCTCTTCCTCTTAATTCCATAGTCAGATTAAGTTTCTTCTTAATATGCTCATAATATAACTAAATTAAACACATAAATTTTTGGGGAAACATTCAAAATTCAGCACAGATTTTAGTGGTAATCCCTCCATCCCAAACACCAGTCCTGAGGTCCCTTCCACATCACCCTGTTAGGTGGTTTTCTAGACTGTGATTGAACACTATTAGTGACAGGGACTCACTATCTCACCATTCTATATTTAGACATGACAGTTCTCCCCTACAGTGATTTTAAAAAGCAGCCAACCACTTGGCTCAGATTTACCCTTTGGAAAAACAAAACAAAACAAAATGACTCCCTCTTCTACAACATGGTCCTTTACTTTAGGGCAGCCATCACTTCATTTTCTTTTAGACGTGTTGGGCTGAGCGTAATCAATCAAGATAGTCTCTCTCTCTCTTTCTGTCTCTGTGGCATTTCTTCTACCTCAGCCTCCCAAGGAGCTGAGATTACAGGCGTGTGCCCCTGTACCTGGCTTTTTAGGATGGGCCAGAAATTGAACTTGGGCCCTCCATGTAGTCTCAGCTTACCAAGCAGTAGTATCTACTAGCCCAAGGTATCTTGGTAGAGTAAGGGCAATCTAGTTATTAATGCTATGGGTAGCATTCAGAGATCTGCATGAAGAGGAAAGGGAATGAGCTCTCCGTCTATAACCAGGATGAAGTCACTCATTCATTTAATAGCATTTTGGAATTCCATTATGATAAAGCATAGTTGAGGAATCTATGAATTACTATTTCTATCAAAAATTTAGATGATCCTGTTTATGTGTATTATTGTGTATAAACCTACTACTTATGCTTTTCTTTAATTATAAGAAGTTATATTTATAGGTAGTCTAGAAAGTATTGAAAAAGAAAATTTACTTAAAGAGTGATATTGTTAACATGAAAGTTTCATTCCATAAAAAGGGTTTTTCTATAAGCAAGTGATTACTTAAAAATAATAAAAACATAAGCATTTTGCTTATACAGCTTGTTCTGTTTGGAATATTCTACATATCCTTCCCCTTTATCTCTCCTCCCCTACTGGCCTGTGTCTTCTAAGATACAGGCTCATTCTAGATATAAAGTATGTTCTGACTCACCCAAGAAGAACTATGCACGCCACCCACCATCCTCTGAATCTCTGCTGTACCTTGTACATTTTTCTACAGAGCACTTAAAACACATTATTTATTCACTCTATTTAATTTTAAACTCTTTGAGGTTTTGGGCTAGGTTTTACTCATCTTTTAAAATCTTTAGTACTCAAAACAGGGCCAAAATAAGAATTAATTTAGCAACTACAAGTTTCTATGTTATTACAGAATCTTCATAAATATACTTCTATGGTACTTCAGAGTAGACATGACCATTTACTTAACCATTCTCTCTTCATCCTAATTAGGTATTTAGGATGTTTAAAATTTTCACTATGCTAAGAAAGCTTTTAGAACTGTTTAAACTTTTGTTTAAGATAAAAATTATTTTCTTGTTATTCCTTCCAAGAAGTAAAATAAGTATGTAAAAGGAAACATTTGAAGTTCTTGATGGAGCCAGCAGATGGCATGGAGGTTAAGGCCCTGGATACGAGGTGGCTGCCTTCATGGTTCAAGTCCCAGATTCTGCAGTCCAAGAATCATTCAGAGCGTGTGTGCACGTGTGCCAAGATCCTGAGAGAACACTGGAGAAGGGATTGTACAGTGGCCATCCCCCTAGGGGCCTGAGTCCCGGTCACTAACAGTGTTCAATCACAGTCTGGAAGGTCATCTAACAAGGTGCTTGTGGAAAGGACCTCAGGACTGGTATTTGGGATGGAAAGATTACCACCAAAATCTGTGCTGGGTACAGACTTTAGTGTTAAATTTGATTAAATTATGAGCGTATTAAGAGGAAACTTAATCTGACTGTGGGATTAAGAGGAAGAGCCTTTTTTTACTTTCTCTCTCTGTCTCACCCTTTAGCAAAAACTAAAAAATAAACAAGTAAAAACATTCTTGATAGGATATTAACAAATAATTTTCATCTGGTTATTCTGTCACCATACACAGGAACCTGCAAGTCTTGTTGCACCTCAACAGTATTAAGAAATTGGTTTTTCATTTTTGCTAATTGAAAGTGACATCTTGCCTTAGTTTGCATTTCTTTACTTTCTCGTGAAGACATTCACTACAAGTTATCATCTTTGCAGATCAGTTGTCTGTTAGGAATTCTCTGGTGATGTGCTCTGTCCATTTATCTACTGGGTGTTAGCATTAACAATTTTTTTTTTTTTGAGAGGTTTTTGCTATAGGGCTCATGCGCTTGCCAGAAAGAGAGAGACAGAGAAAGAAAGTGAGAAATCACCCCCCTAGGGGGATGGCCATGCCACAATCCTTTCTCCTCCACTCCCCTCTCGGGATCTTGGGCATGCATGCACATGCACCCAGTGTGAGTTTTAAGCCACTGGGTCTCCGACTCGAACCGTGGTCGACTACATGGGAGTCCAGTGACATATCCATTACGCCAACTGCTGGTCCCAGCATTATCAATTTTTATGATATCTTTATATATTAAAGGCATTAACTATGTCATGTAATTGTGTAACTGAGTCAAACCTTTTCTCAAGCTTCTCTTTTATTCTTTATAGTTTTTTACATAAAGACACTAAGATTTTTGAGAACTCAAACTTAACTTTGTCATTTGAACTTACTACATTATGTGGGATCATCTGTAACCTTTAGGGTATATTTTGATTTCTGTATGTGCATGCAGATCTGTTTATGTTACAGGTACATATATATAGGCATTTAGTTATCAGCTTGATATAAGGCATGACTATCGACATCTCTACATAAGCATCTCTATGCAGTGATACTATATAGTTCTACATGAGCTAACTGTTTGGATGATTAATTGTTAGCTAACACTGCATAAAACTCTAAACAGAAAGAACAGTGAAGTGCTAGGGAATAATCATTATTTATTTATTTATTTATTTAAGAATTTGGGAAGGTTCTAATTTAGATGAAAAGAATTGACCTGATTTGCTTTGGGGAAAAGGAATTATAAGCACCAGTTTCTAAATGTAGCTGTTGGTAACACATTAAGCTCATTCCCTAACTATAAAAGAACAAAGAAAAAAATAGTATGTGTATATTGGTGAGACTTCCAGGATTCCTTAGTAAACTGTTAAATAGCTCCATAGGATAGAATATAAGCCTCTAAATCACAAGTCATTTCTTTATATACATAAGAAACTCAAAATTTCACAGGAAAAACAAGGCTTTATTTGAAAAGAAACTTTGAAGTTTTAAAACAAAAGCAGATGTGTAAAAACTATGTTCTAATCTGCCTGACAACAGCAAAACACTGTGAAAAGGAAGCTCAAAGAAAGACTGTAGTTAATTTCACAGTAGTGAATGTGTGACAATATCACTTTCCTGGTGGCACAACTGTGACTTCTCTTTTACAACTAAATCAAGCTGGGGGGGAAACTTACTAATTGCCTGATTACTCTTCCACATTTAATGCAGGAGCCAATTCTCGCTTTGCTATGTAATGCACTGAAACTACAGTCATAATTCCAGACCAATGCATGAAAAAAAAATCAATCTGGGACCAGCAGTTGGTGTAATGGCTATGTTGCTGGACTCTCATGTAGACGACTATGGTTCGAGTCCCAGATTTGGCGGCTTAAACTCACACTGGGTGCATGTGCGAGCGTGCCCAAGATGCCGAGAGGAGAATGGAGGAGAAGGGATTGCAGCATGGCCATGGGGGGTGGGGGTGATTTCTGACTTTCTGTCTCTCTGTCAAGCACATGTGCCCTATAGCAAAAAAAGAAAAAAAAAAAAAAAAGAAAAGAAAAAAAAAGTCAATCTACTAGTTCCAACTGTATATACTGTAAGGGGAATGCTAGATACGAGAGAAAAGAGAATTAGAGGAAAGAGGACACTTCACATATCATGAAGAACCCTGTTAGCTCTAGATTTCAGTCCTAAATTCTTCTTGGACTGCCAAGTTCCTTAGGCCACCATTACTTTACTCATTTGTATAACTGAATTATTTTATTAAATTAACTTCAGCACCACTCCATGTCACATGATGGATGAAATAAACTGATGTAAATTGGGATTACAGTCATAAAATTTCAAAAAACAGCTTTCTTGGGGAAATAATAAATAATGTTCTCTCTCTTGTTTTTTTAGGTTGTTGCCATAGGGGTGCATGTGCTTGCCCAAAAAAACGAGAGACAGAGATAATGCTCTCTTTAAAATATACAGTATTTTCTGTAGGGCTAACTTTCAAACTCTTTGGAAAATGTCCTCCACCTCCAAGTAGGTAGCACAATGTTTTTGTTCACAGCACACATGCAAAGGTCAATTCCAGAAAAGAACGTCTACACAATGCCAGGTTAGCATTATTTCAAGTTCTCAAGGAGAGTAGGACTTGAGGTTTTGGTGGAGAAAAAGAAGAGTAGTGAAGTGGGAGGAGGAAATGCAGACCTCAATTTCAGTTCTCAAATGTGTAAGGTGTCAAAAGCCGAATTTTAACACAAGGAATACATTGGGTTCAGCTTTAGGTCCTAGATACTTCAGAACGTGGCCTTTATTTTAATTTCCTCTACTCCCTACAATGGAACACATAATAGGTAAAAGATTAAATGAGAACAAGAAAATCAAGAATCCGGATTAAAATAAAGAGTACCACCACCGCGTTTAAATGCGTGGACTCTGGTTTCAAACTAGTTCGGTATTTACAACTCTATGATTCACTTTTCTGATCTGTAATATGGGTAAGACTGGACCCAGAATTAAATAATATGCAAAGCGCTTGCCAGCGTCATGCTTGACATCCCTAAACGAGGGGAAAAAAAAAATCCCCAAACCAAAACCAACCAAAAAAACCTCTTGAAGGCAAGGTCCTACTAACTTCTACGTCTTAAAACGGCGCCCAATACAACACTCGATGTCTGCATTTTTTCTTTCTTTTTCTAAAACAAAGGAATAGGCAAATACACCCCAGGCTGGCGTCGTTCGGAGACCGACGTCAAACTCCGAGAAGGAAAGGGTCTAGGCTGTCCGCTCCCCGCCTCCCAAACCCGCGAAACGAGGCTGCTCTGGCCAATGGAGCAAAGTCCTCTGGGAAGTGTAGTCTTTAGGCCTCGGAGGACTTCAACCACTGGCCGAAGAACCAGGGAGCTGGGAGGAAATCATGAAAGGAGGCGGTTATTGAATAACTCAAAAGTGTCGGGAGCCCGGGAGGTGGGTTAGACAGCTCACCTGAGTCTCCCAACACGAGTACCTTCACCCGATCCAGGGACGCCATCTTGCCTCCACCTTTACGCAGCCAACGCCTTTTCCGGGATTCTAGGCCAATCAGAGCTTAGCACGGAGCAGAATCTTTAATTTTATTGGTCGGTAGGAGTATGGCTGTTTTATTGAAGGGTTCTCCGTGCTGATTGGTCCGTCTGGGTAAAGGTAGCGGGTAGTTTCCAAAACTGGTCGCAGGCATAATGCGTTTTCTTTGTCGCAGAGTTTGCGTAGTCGTTTAAGCCGGTAGTTGAAGCACTGAGGGAAGCAGTAGTACCAGTGTTCGAGGATTCGCTTCGGTAAACCTTGTTCCATATTTCTTGTTCCCAGGTCCCTGGCCCTGCGTCGCGTGTCGTGGTTTCTTACTCCTTCGCTCTCCTCTCTCCTTGACTCTCTTCTGACCTGACCTGTCATCTTGCCTCGTTTCCTCCTCTTAGCTACCCTCTTTTTTTGGTCCTCCAAAGAACCATTGACCCCGGAGCGGCCCGTGAGCTACCTTAGGTAGGACGGGCCTGGCTGTGCCTCGTGTGGCCCTGGATTCAATTGGGAGAGTCCGAAGGAGTTTTAGGACTAGGGTTCTCACAGTGGGGAGGAGTGAACTGGACTGCACGCGGCTCGTGGAGGGCAGCCGGGACCGGAGGTTTGGTGGTAGTCTGCTGCTTTATGAGAGTCCCATGAGATATGGCAACAGAAAAACCGCTGTTACATAGAGAGAATTCAATTTCTTTTACATCTGGTATCGTAGTATACGGAAATAATCTAACAGGACTCCTGAAACCACTCTTTTCCCCTTTTATCTCCATTCTGCAGTCAGTATAATCTTAAAATTGCGATTTTGGTCCTGTCACCACCCTCATAAACCATTTTAAGAAGCGTGTGTCCAGTGGTCTTTTTCTACTGTGCAAGCAAAAGTGGAGGAAGTAAACTGGGAGAAAGCTGGCAGGCAGGATGGGCTTGTTGGTAGAACACGTGCCTAGGAGGTGAACTGAAAATTTTATGGAAGTACATGACTAGGTGTACCAGACGCTGGAAATTCATTGGTGAAAGAAATGAAGTCCTGGTCTTAGAGACATGGACAAACTACAAGAAGGGGAAGAGCTATGGGAACATGGGGGAGGGAATTATTCTAAGCTACTATACACTCTGAGAAGATCTCTTTGAAATACCATTTGAAAATTCAGGGATATTTAGGAGGAGGTTCGGGTTTAGCTTTGTGGGCAGAGGAACAGCATAAGTAAACTGGCTTGACCTATGATGCATAATAGGATCACACATGATAGTAACAAGGTCGGAAAATGTCTACACTAAAGTTCTTATCTCTAACTGTAGAACTTCAATGGCATCCTTGAAAGCTTTCAGACAGTTCACTGTGCCTGGTAAAATGTATAAATAAAGAAGCTCAGCATGACTGAGCAGCACAGCTTGTCTGTGTTCACCTACATCTCTGCTTCTGCGTCTTTCTCATGCATGTGGCTCTTGGAACTGAGAATTACGCATCTGTGGCTAGAAGTGTCGTTGACAAGGGTAGACACAGGGCAGAGAGTGCATTGTTTTCAACTTTGTTTCTCTAGTTTTGTGCCTGGTGTAGTCTTTAAAACTTTTTAGAATACATGTAGGGCTGGGCTGGGAAGGGAAGTGAGGTTGAGACATGACTGATAGACTATGGAGCTAAATAGAAGGAACAAGGGCCCTGAGAGGTCGCACACTGAGAGGTCTCCAGAGTTCAGCCACACCCCTTCCCTGTTGAAAAGTGTCAACTGCTATTCAGCTCCAGCTTATTGTTTCCAAATGGGAACATAACCTCACTTTGTTCTTCAGATATTTCCAGTTTTCTGGAGGAGCTGGCAGTTGAAATTTATGTGAACTCTCATTTTTAAATGTTGACAACTAATTCAGAAAATGTTCAAAACATTTTTTGGATGAAACAATGTGTGTAGATATAAGTTTGGGAACTCTCACCTCAGAAACTGAAGAAGTTCAGAGATCCAGTAAAGAGACTAAATATGAATGGGAAAGGAGTGGTGGAGAGGAGGCAGTGGTCAGGAAGGAGTTCAGAATGCAGAGACTTTGCACAGGGTAGCCCAGCTTGACTTTGTTCTTGAGCTCCAGTTTCCTTTGATCAGCTACCTGCTGGGCATCTTCAGAGGAATAACTCATGGTATTTGTTCAAAGACAAGTATGTGAAAGTGAATGCCTCCTTTCCTCCAAACCTGCTCTTTTTAGGTGTTACCCATTTCTCGTCATAACAGTACTTTTCCATTCCTGGTCACGCTAGCTCAAAACAAAGAGCTATTTAAGATTTTTCTACTCTAGTACTCTGTTTCAAATATGTTGTTAGATCCTTCTGATTTTATTTTTGTAGTGTTATTCATCCTATCCTCTTCTCGAAGAAATTTTTTGCCGTCTTCCTTAGGTTGGATTATATTACTATAGCTTCCGATACTTCCCCGGTGCCTCCATCTTCCCTCACTTCAGTGTTTCCACTGTAAGAGTCACTTTTGTAAATAGGATCTATTATGAATGCCAGTACTAAATTGAACTTTTATGCCAGCCCTGAAATCAGAACAATTTGTATCATTTGTCTCATTTAGTCCATATATCAGCTGTATGTAGCAGTTATTATTTATTTTTATATACGAAGAAACTGAGTCTGAGAATTTTCTGGAGTCACAGTCTAAGATTGCAGGGTCCTCATGTCATTTCCTTGCTCTAATTTTCAGGGCTTCCTAAGGTGTTTCAGGTAAAGGAAATAAACTGAGTGGTAAGTGGCATAGGCACATCTCCATGAAGGATGTGCATTGATGGGATAAGTAATAGCCATGGATTTTTGCTGTATATTAGATTAACCTAAAGAGCTTTTATTATAAAATTAATGTGATGCCATGGGGCCCTCCTAGACCAGCTGAAACAAAACCTCTGGAAATTGTGCAAAGAGTTGGTATTAATATGCCACTCAGATGATTCTGCCATACAGCTGGGATTGAGAACCACTGGCCGGCTGCATGGAGTGTATGGGGTGAGAGTGGGTAAGGGAATACAATAGTAGGAAATAGTGCTGGAAAAATAGGTTATGTTCACATTTGCCTGCCATTCTTTGGTCTGTTGAATGTTTCTAGATCCATATGTTATATGGATATGTTATATTCTGCCAGCTGTTGAGTATGTGAAACCAAAAAAAAAAAAAAAGCTAGGTTCAAGTACAACATGTACACCACATTGAAAGGAGAACAAAATGGGTCTGGTATGGTAATATACGGTGGCACTTGCCTGGCATCTGTAAGCCCTGGGATAACAGGAATACTCTAGGACCACAGATTTGGATCTAGTTGCTACTTTGTTATTTGTCCTCATATATAGTCATGCCTGAGTAGTTGTAATCTAAAGTATATATTTTGTTATAACTGACTTTTCTTTTGCTTTCCTTTCTTACACTTAAGACCTATATTTTTCCCAAAAAATTTGTGTATAGGTTGGTTATTTGGGAATTTTTTATAGTATAGTACTATGGCTATAGAAGTATTTCTTATAAAAAGAGACAATAAATCTGATAGGGTTAATAACTACTGATTGCAAATAAAAGGTTTCAGTTAAAACTAGTATTATAACAATATAACTACTCACTAAAATGGTTCAATGGATGTCTCTTAACATTTTTCCTATGGAGTAGGGAAGTTGGGCTTGATACAATTTGTACAGATAGTTCGGCCATTTTTAGTTTGGAATATGTTAGGTCAATATGAAGGCTGTCTTTGTTAACAAGACTTTTCTAAACCATTTACTTACATTCTTAGTTATTAATCTCAGTTTTCCCATCAAAGTAGTTGATAATATCCTTAATTTTTAGAGAATAAAGTATGGCTTGAAGTTGTTTAAGGCATTTCCCCAGATCTCACAGCTACCAAAACACAAGCTAGCTCTGAATTCCAAAGCTCAGGCTTTTAAATAATCACATGTAAGTCTAACAACCACATGTGAGTTTGGGCTCTGAGAAGAGAGCTTTCTGGACCACGATGTGGAAAATTAAATACACTTAGCTCTGCCTTGTTCCACGAGCGATAAATATCCATATTTAAGGATATCTTGGGCTGTTTTATTTCTCTCACTTCTTCCCTTTTTAAGGACTAGATGATGTTTATTTAATTGCAAGTTTGGCAAAGCTGTCACCATCTAAGTGTTAATTTCTCTCAGATTTACAATAGTTAATGATTTTGTATGCATCTAAACTGGTCATTACTTGTGTGTTTATTGACTTTTTGGGATTTTATTGTGAAAATGTGACTATGTAAAACATCGTAGAATCTTTGCAGAAAAATTTACTGAAGGAAATAAATAGAAATAATAACATTTTTAAAATATGCTAATTGCTAGGTTTCTCAGGGAATTTCCAACATTCCCCAAAATCTGTACCATGGTTAGCACTTCATTTAACTGCTTCATGTTTCTCTTTCTGAAATGGACTGCACTTGACATATCATTGTTATAGATAAGTCACTTTTTGGAATCAAGCACACTGAAGATCATGACAGTAATCATTTGCAAAATTTGTCAAGCTTTTAGGTGTAATCTTTAGTGTATTCTAGAAGAAAATTTGTTCTTTATGTTAAATGCTTGGGTATTAGAAGTCTTTTAAAATAATACTTTTGTGGTTACTCCAAGAATAGTGATAGCTATCTGCTACTAGTAATAGGTTGATTAGCGTAGATTTGAAATGACTTCCATGTCCTTATGTCTCGCTAATCTTCTCTGTTTTTCTGAATTCAGTGTATTAAAAGTTGAAGTTTGCTGCTAAAGATGGCAGATCCAGATGTCCTCACCGAGGTTCCAGCAGCTTTGAAGCGATTGGCCAAGTACGTGATCCGGGGGTTTTATGGCATTGAGCACGCCTTGGCCTTGGACATCTTGATCCGGAACCCCTGTGTGAAAGAGGAGGATATGCTGGAGCTTCTCAAGTTTGATCGGAAGCAACTTCGATCAGTTTTGAATAATTTAAAGGGAGACAAATTTATCAAATGCAGAATGAGGGTAGAGACCGCTGCAGATGGGAAAACCACTCGTCATAACTACTACTTTATCAATTACCGTACTCTTGTTAATGTGGTAAAATATAAATTAGACCACATGAGAAGGAGGATTGAAACTGATGAGAGAGATTCCACCAACCGGGCTTCCTTCAAATGTCCTGTCTGTAGTAGTACTTTCACAGACTTAGAAGCTAATCAGCTCTTTGATCCCATGACAGGTGAGTTTTTTCCAGTTTGTGAATCTTCTTACTAAAAAAAATGTGTACTTTTTTCTTAAATTGACTCATCTAGTTTAAACAGTTGCAAGAGTGCATGGATCATTGTTAAGTCAGCATACAGTCAGTCATCCTGTCTTGTTTAGCTATATTCTACTTTGAGAAGATCTTCACATTCTTTCTCCTAAACAAGGGGGTATACTCATTCATGAGGTTTTCTCGCCTATGGCACTTCTGTCACTTGGAGACTATTTTGACAAATTTTACCTTTGACTTCTTCATTCGGTGAATATGTAAATACTTGTGCCGGTCATTGGTAGACAGTTATAATACGTTGTATTTAAATGCTTTGTTAGTGGGAGCAGAAAGTACTATTGGAAATAAATAGAACAGATGATCTGGATGTGGGGGAGACCGCTGGAAGAAGTAAGTAGCTGAGACCAAAAAGATATGTAAGAGTTATTAACCAGATGAAATAGAGGGAAACTTTTTTCAAATTAAGAAGTAGATAGATATAACTATGCATTAATGGAAGAGAATTATCAATAAGACATGTCATTCCTGGACCAGCCATTGGCATAACGGTTACGTTGCTGGACTCCCACGAAGTCGACCGCAGTTTGAATCTCAGACCTGGTGGCTTAAAACTCACATGTCCCCAAAATCTCAAGAGAATGGAGGAGAAGGGATTGTGGTATGGCCATACCCCCAGAGGGTGATTTCTCCTTTCTGTCCATGGTGAGCGCATGTGCCCTATAGCAATAATCGCTCTTAGAAAAAAAAGACATAATCATTTCTTATTAATTAAAATTAAAGTACTGTAGCTATAATGATTTTTCTTAACACAGTTTAGAATATATGCATTTTGTAAAAATACATCTTTTCTTGGTTATATAGTTATTTTATCTTGTTTGTAAACTGAGAAAGATTATAGTTTTGCTAATTACTCAATGATCAATTTTGTCTTATTTTTCAGAGGTAAAAATGTATAGGACTCAATATTGTTAAGTTAGATTGTCTCTGTTATAATTCAGTTGTACCGATACCTTTTAGTTTATAAACCTGGCTTTTAAAAAACTTGTTAAAATTTCATTTAAATGTTCATACTTAAAGCATTTTGTTGGGAAAAAAATCACAGATTTGTGTGCATATTTAATTTTCTAATTTTTAAAATGTATGGTAAAATTATTTCTTTATAAAGGGAAAAATCACCCCAATATTAGTTAAGATTATTGACAAAAAGAAATATGGTGAACCCTATGACCTTTTTTTCCCTTACTTACTGTGAAGCATTGATATTGGATGAAAAATCATTTAAAGAATTCACATTTGTATTAACTGCTTAATTTGGCCAATCCTATTTATCTTGGAAGGGCTTAACTAGGAGAGATTCTGATTATAAGAAAACCTTCCCTATCCTGGTATAGTTATAAATATAGCTTGAGTGTGCTGTAGAGGAAGGTTTTAGAAGATATCTGGAGCTCTTCAGAATAGACTAGAAAATCTAGTGATTCTTGCCATTCATTCTAACAGATTTCTCAAAGGAGCTCTGGGTTTTGGTTTTGTGATTCTCTACAGATGTTGGTGTTACAATTGGTCCTGTCTTCATCACTCTTGACTGCAGTGGAAGGTGTTTTCCAGTCCCTCAGAGAGGGGAATCTAAAGTAATGTGATTCTTTCTACTACTTTATTCATCATTTGAGTCTTTATTTAACTTTATGAAACTTCCTAAAAGGAGGTGATTCTACTACTTATAGATCAGAATTTAGAAGATTGATCCATGGTGCTCTTTGAATTTCATCTAGGGTTAGTTTCCAAGTGAAGCTGCAGTAGTTGATCAGTAGATTGCCTGTGGAAAAGATGGCCCAACACTCTAACATGTATTAGCCAAGGTTAGAGTAGAAGACATGAAAATATTTTATGAAAGAAAGCTAAAACTGAAACAATTGTGTTGTGACCAGTCTGATTAAAAACCATTTTTAATATGAGGGATATGGTCAGCATGGAGAGTAAACATAAGGCATTTTACTTTAATTTAGGGGAGGATACCCTGAGAAACCAACCATAATGTTTAACTTACAGGGTGGTTATGACCCTACAGTGAAGCCTTAGGTATCATGATTGAAAATTTCTGATTATTAATGACCATCATTCTGAGAATATAATTGCTTTTGGATTATAATTTGGCTTTTCATATTGACTTGCCCTTAAGAAAAAAAATGTGCTGATTTTTGAATTATGATTTATACTTGGAAGTAGGGGTTATTCAGGAATTAGATTTGAAGCCTTACAAACTTCACTGTCACCTTGATAAAAAGTTCTTAACTCAGATGTATAGGCAACTCTGCCACTGGACAAAGGGTTGTGACTCCTATAAGAACTCATGAGGAGCAACGGGAAATTCCGGACTCAGGACTATGGACTCAGCAAGGATTGTTTGGGCAGTTTTAAGTCAAAAGCCAGTAATTTTACTTCTTTAGTCTGTAGCTTTTTCCTCCACTATTTTTATTTCTCCCATATATATTTTCTCCATTTAGATATTGGTTTTGCTGTTTCTGGGTTGAACTCTTCAACTATTTGACGCTTCGTTTATATAGATACTTAATTTCATTAAAATGGAATAGCTTAGCCCTTACTCAATCAGTCCCTGATTTAAGACACTTAATCCATCAAAACCAGCTGTTTCGTTCCTGAAATATGGTATTATGTAACCAAAATAAAGATAATATGACATGAAATCCCCCAAATCAGCACCTTGTGGTTCATAAATGCATGTTTTAGGTTTAGCAAGCTTTCTGACCATGTAAATAGAGTTAGTATTTCTATTTTAGCAATTTCAACCATGGGTAATTTAGTTAATGGCACTTCTAAGTTCAGCAACATGCTTCCCCAAAAGGGAGAGAAAATTCATTTTCTGTTTTTAGATGTTACGGTTTATATTTTCTGTTTTTGGTTTTAAAATTATGCAATCATACTGCCAGTAAAAATTTTGAGAAGAAAAAAATCACCCATACAACCACCAACTTTTTATGCTGTTACTTGTAATGATAATCATAGCCTAAAATAGTTTGTGATCTCTTGGTTCCTTAATGTCTCAAACTCCTCCTGTTTCTATCTTGTGTTCAAAATATGTTTTTGTTATTTTTTTTAAGATTTTTTGCCAGAGGGAGTATACACTTGATCAGAGAGAGACAGAGAGAGGGAAAGTGAGAAATCACCCCCCCGAGGAGATGACCATGCTACAATCCCTTCTCGTCTCCTCTTGGGATTTTAGGCACGCACACACATGCACCCAGAGTGATTTTTCAAGCCACTGGGCCTGGGACTCAAACCATAGTTGGCCATATGGAAGTCTAGCATATTAACCACTACACTACTCGCACACCCCCAAAAATATGTTTTAATAGTTGTAATTTCCCCCCACTTTTCTTTCTACCCTCTTTGGACACTTTGACTTTATTTGTTGCTGGTATAGGTAAGATGCTTTGAATATCTTTGATATATAACATTTTAGTCCTTTTTAGATTTTTTCCTTAAGAATTCTCAGCAGTGAGAATATTAGACAAAAGAATATTGTTTTATAATAACTGTAAAGGCATATATGACACTATGTGGAGTAAAATTATTAGGTGTTCAAATTAGAAATAGAGTTTTTGAGTCCTTATTACTGAATTCACTTAGCATTTTAAATAAACTTTGAGATAAGAGGTAATTTAAATTTAAGAGGAAGCTTATAAATTATATGTTTAATAAAATCTTAGAAATAGGAATTTAGATATTATGTAGTTTAATAATAATGTGTGTGTGTGTGTGTGTGCACATGTACATGAGGATTTTATACTTCTGAATTTGGAGGATCTTAAAAAAGAATATAATCGTAAATCTAGGGGCATATAGATTACTAGCATGTTTTGCTAATAGATTGAATATTTTAAAAATATCACTGTCATATAGAGGTTCAGCTTGTTTTATTTGATTCCATGGAAAAGACTAAAGTCAGATAAGATTAGCATAAAGAAGTATTTAATAACTAACTAAAAATAACTGTAATACCTAACTCTTAAAAGGTAGCTAACAGTAGGAATAGAGAGAGCTCCTCCTATGGAGGTCTCTTTTTGAGTCATTAGAAATACTTAAGAGGGGCCAGCAGGTGGCGTAGTGGTTAAGGTGTTGGACTCCCATATGGCTGACTTTGGTTCAAGTCCTAGACCTGATGCACACGTGTGCTTGTGTGCTTATGTGCCCAAGATCCCAAGAAGAAAATGGAAGAGAGGGGATTGCACTGTGGCTATTCCCCCTGTGGGGTGATTAGAGCACATGTGCCCTATAGCAAAAAAAAAAAAAAAACTCAAGTAAACTTAGTATCTCCTTGGGGGATGTGTGTATGTGTGTGTATGTATATATATATATATATATATATATACATACACACACACACACACACACATATATACATATACATATATATAAATATAACGTTTGGCATTGAATTTTATGAGTCTGTTCTTTCTTTGTGACTGCAGGGAAAGCTTTTTGATTTAGATCAGCTTCCTGATTCCCATATAAATGAAATGCCTCTTACATACCCTTAACCTAACATTTTAAAACTATCAGTGTTAGGGTCCTCTATTTATGAGACTCTGAAAGACCTGTTAATAATGTTTGCTTTCGTGAGGTGGGCTTCTATTTCCTGTCGTCATCTCTTACTACTTAGGACAGGAGATGTCTTAGTGTTTTCAATTCTTGAAATGCTAAAAACACAAATACAAAATGGAATCTTTTTATTATTGTTTTGTTTAGTTGCTGAGTCCTCAGTCTTTGGAATCTTACCTTTAATGAGTTAATGAGATTCTTATACCAGAAAGCTCAAAGGTGTATATTTTTCAGGTGCGGGAGAGGAGGGGGTAGGGAGAAATTGGGGGAGGTTATTAGAATAAGTTAAAAATACATATATGAACAGGTTATGGAAAGATAGTAAGGAATAAGTATCTTTACCCTTCTCC